AGCACAAAAAGAATATTTCTGTGACTTTGTATAAAGGTGTTTTGTAGTTGAGTTCTATGTAAAATTATCAACAAAATAATGTACATTTGGACCGTACAACTGAGATAGACACTCATGCACACAATAACATTCACACATTACACACATACAAACACACTACTACATTTACTCTCTCTCTCTCTCTCTCTCTCTCACCACAACCACACACAAAACAAACACATACACACACACACAACTCTTACACTTGGTCCACTTATTTAGAATCATCCTCTATTTTGAAATAATCCCCCGCACTAAATAAAAAGATCAGTAGAATCTCGACCTTCCGAATCCATGGTTAGTTCAAGAAATCTACCATATGATGTGGCCTAAATAAGGTAAGGGAGGGGGGTTTAGCTTATTTGGGCCACAGTGTGGCCTAAATAAGGTAAGGGAGGGGGGTTTAGCTTATTTAGGCCACACTGTGGCCCAAATAAGGTCACCCTTCAAAATTAAAGTTCAACTGGAACTCGAACTTCGCTTTCTCTTCCGAATTCAGTGGGTGGTTGGCGGCTGCTCTGGTGTGGTCTGCTCCTTCTTTCCTATTAAACATCTATTGTCCTCATCACTCCTCCTCCTTTTTGTGTATGTTACTCTCTTGTAACACCTCTAACCTCCGGCACTTATATGACCTTATTATGTTGCAAATGCCGTAAAACACTTACTAAAACATTTTGAATTCGCAACCTGTTACGCTACGACTACCAGGTCTGCTAGTGGAAGCCGATTTTAAGTAACCATTGTTTTGGCCGGCTTTGACACAGGAAATACAATCGAGAGAAAAACTCAAGTAAATACAAATAGATCTTTCTACGAATAGACCCCCCCCCCCCCCCCTTTTTATTATCATATGCAGAAATGTGTTTCTTCCCCTCGGGGAATTTAAAAAATAGAATAAAGTATAGTTCTCCACTGGATCGCAAATCGCTTATCTCTTCAAAGCCCCTGAAGCCTACACTACTGCCATACATATGCGAGATTCTATTCTTCAACGTAATGATATTGATTTACGCGCAACTGTGTCAACAATCGCCTCTGACAGTCTAGTAAAGAGAGTGGGCGAATCCTTTAGACCTATAGAATCTGTTTTAACAGCAACAAGAAATGAAAAAAGGGGGGGGGGCGATGAAGAATTTCTGAGAAGGTATTACGTACAAAGAAGATTTTTTTAAACACTCGAATGAACCGTCATTTATAATCCTGTTTTGTGTGTGTGTGTGTGTGTGTGTGTGTGTGTGTGTGTGTGTGTTTGTGTGTGTGTGTGTGTTTGTGTGTCTTTGTGTGTCTTTGTGTGTTTGTGTGGGTGTATGTGTGTGTTGGGAGGGGGGGGGGGGGTCCTCATGCTGGTGTTTTTACACTCCCATCAAAACAATTTAGATCATCTCAGAGACAGGCTTAACTTGGCCTGTCAAAGCCAACCCTGATTGTGAGAAATACAGCACCCAAGCATCTTTGCCTTTCTCACCCTGCACCACTGTATAGGCCAGGGACAAACATTTCCACCTTTCTCTATCCTGGGCTAGCCTCTTGATGTTATTCCATGTCTTCCCACTGTTTTGTATATCAACTTCTGTGATTCTTCTCCATGTTCCACGCGGTCTTCCCCTTGATCTTTTACCCTGTGGATTCCAATCCAACACTTTCTTTGTTATGCAGCTGCCTGACTGCCTGAGAGTACGTCCAATCGATTGCCACCGCCTTCTTCCCACCTCACCTCTGACTGGAATCTGCCTTGTTTTTCTTAACACTTCCTCTTTGGGGACCCTGTCTGTCCATCTGATTCTCAGTAACTTTCTTAGACACTTCTTCAAGAGGACCTGGATCCTCTTTATGCAAGTCTGAGAGACCGAAATACTCGTTAAAAAGTATCCACTTTGAATCGAACTCAGGTCACTCGCGTGCAACGGCGAAGGGCATACACCACCCCGCACACACCGGTGCATAATCCAACAACAGAAGAATGGGATCCTAAAATACTGGGTGCCCATTGCGGATGGGATCGGGTCGGATCGGGTCGAGTCGATCGCCCGACTCGTCGCTTGAAAACAAACGTGCTTGTTTTTGAGACACCGGTTTAAAATTTTCCGAAGGGTTGAGCAGGTTTCCTATTTATAGCGGTAGCTGTAGAGGAATTCATCGGAGTGAGGTGGAACTGCAAGGAAAAAGAAGCAAAATGGAGACAATCAGTAATGGAGTCCCACAAGGGGGAGTTTTATCGGTGACCCTGTTCCTGATTTTCCTCAACGACATTTCAACCACCATCACCAAGAAAGTGACAGCAGCGGAGTACGCAGATGACATCGCTCTTTTATGCTCAGCAGAATCAGTAGGAACAGCCCAGGTACGACTCTAACATGATGAAGATGACAGAAAAGTGGGGACAGAAGATCAACAAGAACAAGACCACGTACACAACATTCAGCCTCTCATCAAAACCCCGAAAGGTAAACTTGCATCTTGATGGAAACACTCTACAACACGAGTCAAATCCCACCTATTTGGGTGTGACGTTTGATCCAAGACTAACGTGGCACGCCCAAACAGAGAGGTGCAGTAGTAAAGGCAACAGAAGAACAGCACTGCTTAGAAAGTTGGCAGGGTCAGATTGGGGAGCAAACCACACCGTCTTACGTGGAGCCTATGTTGGATTTGTCCGCCCAGTCGTAGAATATGGTATCACAGCGTGGGGAACAGCATCAGACAGCAACTTCCACAAAGTAGCGAGAATCCAGAATCAAAATCTGCGGATCATCACGGGAGCAAGGAGATCCACGCCCACTCATGTCATGGAAACACTAACGGGGTTAAAACCCCTGAACGACAGACGTGATCTGAAAGCGATTGTTCATCAGGAAAAGGTCAAAAGAATGCCAACCTATCCAATGAAGGATAGATCTTCAAAAAGCCAGAGCAAACGCTTAAAAAGAACAAGCTTCCTCCATATGGCCAGACACTCCAGCTCTGGACTCGAAATCTCTCTTGAAGAATCTCCAATCCCACTAGACCCGTGTCAAGTCCACCCCCTTCAGACTAATTCCCCCCCCCCCCTCAAATTCGAAAGAACCTAGAAAAGGTTGGCACCAAATCTGAAGTCCCTCCTCCAATACTCAAGTCACTGACGCTCGACTACCTAGAAAGAAACTTCCCAAGCAACCAGTGAAATCGAGTTTACACAGATGGATCAGCAACTGATGCAGTCAGAAACGGCGGTGGAGGTATCTACATAGAGTGGATCTATGAGACAACAGAAAGCCATTCCATCCCCACAGGATCTTTTTCTTCCAATTACAAAGCAGAAACATCAGCACTCGAAACAGCAGTCACCATTCCCTTGAATCACCAAAAATCTAAAGCCAACACCGTAATCCTCACAGATGCCAAATCTGTCCTACAAGCTCTCCAAAAGCCACAAACAGCTCAAGTACGACAACTCCTTTCACTTCTATGTGATCTAAACTCCAAAGCCAACACAACTCTGCAATGGATACCAGGTCACTGTGGCATTCATGGAAATTAAAAAGCAGACGACTTAGCCAAAGAAGGGGCCAAAATGACCCAGATTGAAGATGGCATGGATCTCTCAGAGTCAAAAACACTAATAAAAACTGCTTTGAGAACCAGATGGAAAAGGTCCCACCCTAAGCACAACAGACATGACCCCTACTACATACTAAATAGAGCAGACCAGGTCACAATCTTTAGACTCCGTTGTGGCCACAACAGACTCAAACACCATATGCACACCAAATTAAACGTGGGAGAGTCAGCGATCTGTGAATGTGGACACGACCAAGAGGATGCCAACCATATCCTTCAGCACTGCCCGCGCTACGCCACCCTTCGCACACAGACGTGGCTGAATGTGGCTCCCCTTGAGAGAAAACTCTATGGCAGTCTTTCAGAGTTGAAACGAACTGCACAGTTTGTGCGCGACATCGGACTGACTGTCTAGCTGCTGTCATCGAGAACGAGGAAGAAGAAGAAGAAATCGGAGTGGGGGGGGGGGGGATATCTTATGACAGGTTTCCGTTTTGGACTTGTTTCTGTTAATTCAGGTTTGACAGAATGTATATTACTTGGGGGTCCACGTGGTTTAGAAATACAGTGTTCGCCTCTCATTCAATAGGACCTGGGTTCGAAACCTAACAGCGACGGAATATTTTCTTCTCTAAAAAGTTCTTCTTTTGCCTCGTTTCTCGTTTTCTAATCATGTTCTGTCTTCTGCTTTCATCTCCATTTCCTGCGCCTCCCCCCACCTCTCCCATCCTTTCCCCCCTCCTCTGGACCACGGCAGACTCTTTCTACTACTACATCTGGCTCCTTCTTACTGCTGTCTTTTAGCCACACCCCTGATCCTAGGGTAGGTAATCTCTGCACCTTGCCTTCTCGGATAAGGGCACAAAAATCTCGGTGGTCCCGGTTTCAAGTTGTGCACGTTAAAGATCCCTTGATGGCTTTAAAATCGATAAGAGTAGGCTTTGATCACAACCCGGATTAAATTTTGAAATTAAATTCCTACCTAATTGAAAAGGCTTAATGTATCCCGCGCGCTCATATGACCTTATGCGATTTGCAGTCCTATAAAATACATACCGAAAAAAAGATGTACGCGTATAAAATTATAATGAGTATGTATGTGAATGTCTGTTCAATTGGGTGTATAGGGAGTTAGTGAGTGAGTGTGTGTGCGTGTGTGTGTGTGTGTGTGTGTGTGTGTGTGTGTGTGTGAGAGAGAGAGAGAGAGAGAGAGAGAGAGAGGGGGGAGGGAGGAATTTCGAATAACATACGAATAACCATACTCGAAGTAGTATATAAACGGCGCAAATTCACATACATGTACATACTGCTGATATTCTTTAGAAGAGCAAGTACATGTGTTTCATTATTTCCACAGCCTGAATAAACTCAACGTAAAACAGTTTCAGTTTATTGTACATGTATGGTTGTATTTATGTTGACAGGTGATGGCTACTGACTACGGCGATGCGCTCTGTTAAGCGAACCCAAGCCAAGACGTAAAAGACGAAAAATAGGACGCCATGGGGTGCGGCTCTTCTAAGGGAGACGGAGGAGGGGGAGCCAAGAATGACAACCCACCGATAGATGGCGTGAGTACACGGGGACTTAATTAGGAGGGGGTGTACACTTATCCGACGCCTCGATCGTTCTGACTGGATTGATGGCGACAAGGGTATCACGATTCGACAGAGTCGATCACAATTTGGCACGACATGGTTTCATCTATCATGATCAGCTATATTAAAAGTAATTTGCTTTTTCTGGGCCCCAGTCTATTCCGAACCACGCAGAAATTTAAGGGTGGGCATATCATCATCATCATCATCATCATCATCATCATCATCATCATCATCATCATCATCATCATCATCATCATCATCATCATCAA